ACTTCGTGGAGGAATTCAAGCGGAAGCACAAGAAGGACGTCAGCCAGAACAAGCGAGCCGTGAGGCGGTTGCGCACTGCTTGCGAGAGGGCCAAGAGGACCCTGTCGTCCAGCACTCAGGCCAGCCTGGAGATCGACTCCCTGTTCGAGGGCATCGATTTCTATACGTCCATCACCAGGGCGCGGTTCGAGGAGCTGTGCTCTGACCTGTTCCGGGGCACCCTGGAGCCAGTGGAGAAGGCTCTGCGCGATGCCAAGCTGGACAAGGCCCAGATCCATGATCTGGTCCTGGTAGGGGGCTCCACCCGTATCCCCAAGGTGCAGAAGCTGCTGCAGGATTTCTTCAATGGGCGCGACCTCAACAAGAGCATCAACCCCGACGAGGCGGTGGCCTATGGGGCGGCGGTGCAGGCAGCCATCCTGATGGGGGACAAGTCAGAAAACGTGCAGGACCTGCTGCTGCTGGACGTGGCTCCCCTGTCACTTGGGCTGGAGACGGCCGGAGGCGTGATGACTGCACTGATCAAGCGCAACTCCACCATCCCCACCAAGCAGACGCAGATCTTCACCACCTACTCGGACAACCAGCCAGGGGTGCTGATCCAGGTGTACGAGGGCGAGAGGGCCATGACAAGGGACAACAACCTGCTGGGGCGCTTTGACTTAACTGGAATCCCTCCTGCACCCAGAGGAGTTCCTCAAATCGAAGTGACTTTTGACATTGATGCCAATGGTATTCTCAATGTAACAGCCACAGACAAGAGCACAGGCAAGGCCAACAAGATCACCATCACCAACGACAAGGGCCGCCTGAGCAAGGAGGAGATCGAGCGCATGGTGCAGGAGGCCGAGAAATACAAAGCCGAGGACGAGGTGCAGCGCGAGAGGGTGTCTGCCAAGAACGCGCTGGAGTCGTATGCCTTTAATATGAAGAGCGCTGTGGAGGATGAAGGGCTCAAAGGCAAGATCAGCGAGGCTGACAAGAAGAAGGTGCTGGACAAATGCCAGGAGGTGATTTCCTGGCTGGACACCAACACCTTGGCCGAGAGGGAAGAGTTTGAGCACAAGAGGAAGGAGCTGGAGCAGGTGTGTAACCCCATCATCAGCGGACTGTATCAGGGGGCGGGTGGCCCCGGGGCTGGCGGCTTTGGGGCTCAGGTCCCCAAGGCGGGCTCTGGCCCAGGCCCCACCATTGAGGAGGTGGATTAGGGCCGTATCTTTTTTTTACGTATTTGTCTCTGCAGCAGAGGGGCCTTAGGATCTTGCTGTTGGCCTAAGTTTTTGTTAATTTCTAGTTGTCTTCTATTTCAGTTCAATCTTAAATTAGGTGTAACCTGATTAATTTGCCTGTATTGATTATTTGTGGTATAACCAATGTGTTCTCTAGAATTCTTTGCATTTAATGTAACTTGGTATTCTAGAATGTGTTTTTCTTAGTAAATTCTGCTGCCTTTTGTGGGTTTCTTCCTTTTTTTTTTTTTTTTTTTTGCTTTTAAAGACAAGTTATGGGATTTTTAAAATAATTTGTATGTTAAGGATTAAAAATAAAATGTTAAGGAATGTGTATAAAGGATCCATGGACAAAGCCAAAGTGGGGAAGGATAGAAGGTGTGGGTGTGGTAGTGGCGCGGGGGGAATTGGTGGTGGGAAAAGAGACAAATGTATTTGAACAATTAAAAAATAAAAAAATAATTAAAACAATAAAAAGTGTTAATGTGTGCCTATTTTTATTTGGGAGAGTTAATGGACTCTTCTGAAATGTCTGCATTCCATACATTGTGGGAGGGACAGTGCTTCTGATGACTGGTACAAATATTGGGAGCTGTGGCTACGGGTGTTTTTGTTGGAACTTAATTTTAGGTGGTAAATCATATCCGTGTTAGAAAACGTTCTACGTGACCATTTTGATTGGGGTGGAGCTTGTTTTAGAGAAAAGTAGGAACAGGAGCAGCAATAGGGTTTTGGCAAAGAGAGGTTGGTGTGGGTTTCAAGGCTGTATTTAGAGAGGGTTATGGTTCCTTATTTGCATTGATGTTTGCAGAGCTCTTTAGTACCCACTTCTGACCTGTGAGTTTTCTAGTCTTATGTTGAGGTTATAAAGACATTTAGGACAGACATAAGAGCAAAAAGTAGCTGCAGATTAACCCTGTGAATCCTATCTGGTGGTCAAATGCAGCTATTCTCTTGAGTTTTGGTTGCCTCTTTTTTTATTGTCCAAATGGCCTCAGTTCCAAAGTTGTAATGTCATTTTGAGCAGAAATACACTCTAGGTAAGTGACACCTTCAGTCATGGTCCTCCAAGCTGCAGTTACAGAAACAAGAGTCTGGAGGAGTGAAATACTCTTACGGGGGCATGGCAATAAAGAGGGATGGGCTAGACACTACCAGGTTCTTTGGGTCACCTCAGTAATCCTCATTCCACTGTCCTCTACACATCAGGTATTATAAAGCCTCTTTTTTTTTTTTTTTTTTTTTTTTTTTTAATAGGTGGGCATGTGGAGGTGGCCACTTTAACTATGTTCCGAACAAAATTACCACAAGTGATGGTTTGGGGCCAGGCTTGCCTGAACCCTGTTGGTACTGGATAGTTCAGTACATGTCAGGTTCTAAGTCGTGTTTTTACCCCAGTTTTAACAATCAGTACCCTCTTTGTCCCTTTTAATGAACAAGCTCAAAACAATAGCAAACTTAATGCAGAAAGGAGGAGATACAAGCTGTACAGCATAGAGCTGGGCAGATAGGGAAAACAATCTTTGCTTCCATACAAGCCTTTCCCTAGGGGATTCTTCCAGCCTAGCAATTAAGTGTCCTGAACACTTCCTCTAACCTGAGAGAATCCCAACTTTCTTCCTGCCAAAAACAGCCTTGAAATATGAGTATCTATGCCAAAATCAAAGAAATGAAAATTCCATGTTATATCTTTCAATTATCCTCTGAGGAAATCACACCTGTTAGGAATGACAGTGTATAGATAAGTCCTCCTAAAGCTTGTTGAAGCTGCTCAGGTGTTTCTAATGTGCAACCAAAGTTGAGAAAAGTGCACCAGAGCTACTCCTGGTTGTTATTTTTAGGAACAGGAAGGTGTCTGTTTCCAGGGACCCAGTTGGTGGTAAGGGGCTTATTGCTGAGTGGGAGCCTGAAGGCTGGAAAGGCCTTAAAAGTGTTAATCCGCTGGCAGCAGCAGCAGCAATGGTAGAGGTTAGGGAAATTATTAATAGCATTTCCAAGCAACAGTGTAATAGAACATAAGAGAATTCCTGAGGCTGGGCCAGTTCAGTTCATGATTTCCTCATTAGGGAAGTGGTTCAGTAGGAACCAAAATAGAATGTCATTATTTGGAAAAAAATACAATAAAAAATAAAAAAAAAGTCATTGCCTGCCTGTACACATAACATTGAAACTTCAAGCAAAATTCACTTTGCAACATCAGCCACAGGCGAGGCCCCTGGAGTGAGAAATATATCAAATAAATGTATGCCACAGGACTCTTGAAAGATGTTTTGTTTTTGTTTTTTTTAAAGAGATTTTTTTGATGGAAGGTTTAAACTGGGGGAAGGTCAGGGCAGATGGAAAATTGGGGAAAAAGTAAAAGGATATTTCCTGCACCCACAGTGGCTTTCCTCCAAATTTTACTCTATGCTCACTGTCTAAATTATGTGACCCAGGAGACTCATTTAATATGGTTCAAAACCTCCCAAGTCACCATTATATGTGGCTTTTGCTCAAAAGATGAAAAAGATGCCAACATACATCACCAAAAATAACTTGCACTTATACATGAGGGGGTATAGAAGGGTCCAAGTAGGTGGGCTTTGGGATAATACACAAGTTGATGGATTATAGGCCAAGAGCAAATGATTAGGGAAGGTATTTGAGAGAATTCTAGTAAAGGGAGAATATGGCCTAGCTGTAGCCACACACCAGTTGGTTTGCTTCCAACACTTCCTTCCATAAGGTGCTGTTCAGAGAGCATACTGAATACCTCATGGTTTTGGTCAACTCCAGGGCCAGGCACTACTTGGGAAGAAACGAATGAGGACTGGAGAGGAGCTGTTTAATGGGTGTAGAATTTCAGTTTGCAAGATAAAGTTCTGGAGACTGGTTACACAACAATGTGAATTACTTAACATTAACTGAAGTGTACGCATAAGAAAGTGGTTTATAGACATCAAATTACGTATTTTTAATTTGTGCAGTTTGTTGTAGTCAATTATATCAATACAGTTAAAGACTAAGTTTAATGTGCCTGATAGATCTGCAGGCTCCAGTGGGGTTGCGAATTAAGATTTCGCTGGCTCTACGGAGCGGGGTGACAGTTCCTGGGAGTGACCCTGGCTGGCCCCAAGCTGGGCCAGGCCGGCCGAGGGCGAGATTCGAGTCTGACACAGTAACTGGCCCAGCCACTAGGAAGAGCTCTGTGCTGCGTGCGCAAGTGGCGGGCGCCCGGTCTTTCAGCGCCCCCTGGCCAGTCACCTCACCTGTTATTCAAAATACACAAAATATCTCCGAATATTTGCCCAGGACAGTGTTAAACAGTCACTGATGGCCTCTCTTTCACTTTCTTTTATTCTTACTTGGACGAACAATGAGCAAATGTCGCGGGTCAAACCAGGCATCTAGGAAGACAGCCACGGCCGTCAGGCCCCCGATCCTATAAATAGCAGGGCCCTCACGCTACCGTTCTCTTTGTGCGAATTGTTCGGTGATAGGAGTGGTGTGGCGGTGTGTGCTTGTTGGCTGTTGCGCTACCTGCTTCCTAAGGAGAGGATGGTGGCGGGCCCCGGCGCCATGAACGTCTTTGCACAGCTGCCTGCCGGCAAGTAACTCAGGGCCCTGCTGGGTGAGGGGACTGCAGTCTAGGACTGAGCAGGATGAATTACCATTACAGACTAGAGTTTCTGATGTCCGCGTGACGCCACTGCTTGGAACTGACCCAGTCCGGGGCATGGGGGACTTGACTAGAGTCGTCCGGGCCGTTGCTGACTCATTGGTTTCCTTACAGGCCCTGATTCTCGTGGGCGGGTCTGCAGCGTGTCAAGGGTGAGTGGATTGTGCGAGATGGAGTGGCTGTGGTCGCCCTGGGGTAGGATGGGGGTGATGATGGCTCTCGGTGACTCTGAGTGTCTCGCTGACGCTATAACCGCAGCGCGCTGACCACATCCCTCCCTGGACGGGGATCCCTAGTACCTGGCTCACGCAGAAGTTCATGGCCAGGAACCCTTATTAACCACCTAAATCTTGTGTTTTATTTCTCCATTAGGGCTTTAAGATGTAGACCAGCGTGTTATTCTTGAATAAAGGTGAGTGTTAAGTGGAAGAGTGCCCTGAGTACCTTTTCAGAGACCATCTTGCTCCCAAGCTCATGGGGGCACTATCGAGTCTGCCTGCCTTTAAACAACAACAACAACAACAACAAAAACCCACAAAACTTTATTTTTATCGTTGACACTCTTAGGATACTCCGCAAGGATACTCCGCACACCCCACTTTGCCCACCTCTACCCAGGCCCTGCACCCCCTTCCCTCTAGAGGTCACGACACTGTTGAGTCTGCCTGCTTTCTAAGAACACATGCAAAAATGTAATCATTGCACTTGGTGCTTTTCCAAGCGCCACTTTTTGGTTTGTGTTTTTCTTGTGCTGATTACATTCTGAAAAATCTTTCGTATTACCCCATATTTTTGTCTAAACCTGCATTCTTCACCTCTTTTCCTACTGTCAAGTCCCCTGCATGCTGGGCTGGAGCTATTCTGTGCAGTTCTGACTTTATTTCCTACTTTCTTCTCCCTAACTACCCATTCCTGTGTCTTCATATGTTCTAGATCTTTTCCTAGAATGGCTTCCCTTGATCCAGGTCTCCCTGATTTGGGAATGATGATTTCTCAGACTAGAGTCTCTGACGCTGGTCTTGATGTAAAAAATTAAGTTCTGACTCATACAGGGAACTGGAAATTTGGGTCTCTGAGAAGGGCCAGTGGATGGGCTGTAACTCTGCTTGTCCTTTTTCATTGGTTGTCCTGTTTTATGTTTGTAGCATGAGCTGTGGAAGTCTAGCCAGGGGCACTGCCCCTTCCCAGATTCACCACTAAAACTGGTGACTGAAAGCCTAAGATTGCTCCTGTTGGAAAAGTGCCGTCGAGATGGCTGGATGACTAGCTCATGGTTCCTGCCACTTCAGGCTATGTATGACAGTACATTCTCTTGGGCCACTATGGTGAGTCTGCTGGTTTTTCTCCCAGACCCAGAGTGGTAGTGATGGCCTGGTTGGACTAAAGTCTCTAAACATTTCTCTGAGGATCTTAGACATCACCTGATGCACTCATTTTTTTTTTTTAAGTTTTTAGATTTTTAAATTTACTTTTAGAGAGAGGGGAAGGAAGGGAGAAAGAGGGAAACATCAATTGGTTGCCCCTCACAGGTGCCCCAACCAGGTACCTGACCCGCAACCTAGGCATGTACCCTGACCTAGAATTGAACCACTGACCTTTCACTTTGCAAGACGACTCAATCAACTGAGCATGCAGTTAGAGCTGCAACTGGGCTGTAGGTAGAGCCACTCTTACCACTTTTTTTTGAACACCATTTTTAAATATTTTTCTAAGATTTTATTTATTTATTTTTAGAAAGAGAAGCATCAATGCATGGTTGCTTCGGTTTGTGGTTGCCTCTTGCATGTCCCCCACTGGGGACTTGGTTCGCAGGCCAAGTGCTCAATCCACTCAGCCACACCGGTCAGGGCTATCACTGTTTTTTAAAAAGATGTTAGTTATTTTTAGAGAGAGGGGAAGGGAGGAAGAAAGAGGGAAACATCAAGTGTGTGGTTGCCTCTCACACGCCCCCGACTGGGGACCTGGCTGGCAACCTAGGCATGTGCGCTGACTGGGAATTAAACTTGTAACCCCTTGGTTCACAGGCCAGCACTCAGTCCACTGAGCCACACCAGCCAGGGCAAATGTTATTTTAGAGATGAGAGGAGGAAGGGAGAAAGAGAGGGTGTGTGTGAGAGAAACCAGTTTGATCAGTTGCTCTTACATGCCGCCAACCAGGTACCTGGCAATCCTGACTGGGAATTAAACCAGGAACCTTTCCATTCACAGGCCAGGGCTCACATCACTTGTAGGCCTCCCTTTTCTGCCATTTGGCAACTCCTCTGCCCACTCAGCTTTGTGTTTTAATGACAGTTGCTTGTATGGTTCTGATATGTGTTTCTTTTATGAAATTTCAGGATTTTGCTGACATAGTATGCCCTCTATCTGATGTTGGGCAGATTCTAGGAACTTCCTGCATTAGCCAGTGTGAGCAGCTGTCAACTTACTGGAGAAAACAACTGCCTTGAAATTTGGGGGAGCTTAATTATGATTTGTCTTTCACTTGACTTTTGTCTCAAATAAGTACTTGGTTTTATTAAAAGGATCCCAATAAAATATATTAAAGGAAATAAAGTAGATTCTTTGGTCTCAGTGAAAACAGTTGGTTCAAAAAGATTTGCGGAAGGGAACAGTAGTAACTGCCAGTGAAGGAGCATTGCAGTTGGCATCAAGCTGTACCTCTTTATAGGTATGTAGAAAAAACTAAGATTATACCATACATTGACATTGTTAAGGATTTCTAGACTGAGTATCATAGAATGCTAATGTACTAGATGCTATTAACCAGTATTTGGGGTTTTTATGATAAACAGTACTGACATAGTCACTTAATTTGCCTTTTAATGAATTGGTGAAAACAGGTTGTATAGATACGTTTTAAAAGAACATACTGGTGGTTGTCAGGGGATGGGGAGTTTAATGGGTTACAGTTTTACAGGGTGCAAAAAATTACGGAGATGGGCGGTGGTGATTCTTTTATCACCAGTTGGTGTACCTGTTGACTCATCTTTTAAAAATTGCATTTCTGCATTTCTTTTCCTACTGAACATATGTAGCTTGTTCTACCACCACTTCAACTGACCAGCAAAGACTTTTTCCATCCCTTTTTTGGGGGGGGGTAAGGTCATGTATGTGTGTATGTATGTTCAGAGAGGCGGGTCGGGGGGGAGAAATGCGAGCTGGGGACCTCGCCTGCAGCCCAAGCGTGTGCCCTGACCCGGAATCAAACCTTTCGGTCTGCAGGGTGATACCTAACCCACTGAGCCACAGCAATCACGGCATCCTTTATTTTTCTTAATCACTTTTGCTAGTTTTTCTACTTGAAATTTCCTTGTTACTCCCAGAGGATATGGTCACCTCCCATTGCTATTCTCTGATCAGGGATTCCCTGAGCTTCAGTCTTTGGCCCAAAACTTAAGGATTAGCCCTATTTAAAAGGAATGTGTCCTGTAAAACATGGTGGATTAAAATAGGTAGTATTTTTTTTACTGAAATCCTTCATTTGGCTCCCTCATGTTCTTAAACTAGTCTGTTACCAGTTAAGGTTACTTTGGCAGAGGTGATTGGAACTGGGGTTGGGGTAGGAGAATCACAGTTTTTCCCCCATGGATTTCTGAATTACTACCATTGAATACTAAGAAGATTCTGACCAAGCACATGACTCTAGTTGGTTCTCAGGCCCCATTCTATATCTTAGAAGTCACCATGTATTTAGTACATAGCTCTGTGCTTTTTACATGACTTTCTTCACTGAATCCCTAAAAGTCAACTTTGCCCACTTTACTGCCAAGGAGAGGAATGCTAAGGGATGTTTGATGATTTGCTTAAGGCATGGTCTGCATTGTCTTCCCCCAGGTGTGTTACCTTTACCTCCCCTTCCTAGGCTTCAAGATCCTTCTTTTGCCTCTCTAATGTGTGTTTCCTGAACCCATTTCTTTAAGATTTTATTTTTTCTTAAAATCTCATTTTTATTTTAAGGGGAAGGGAGGGAGAGAAACATCAATTGTGTGGTTACCTCTTTTGCATCCCCCTACTGGGGACCTGGCCTGCAATTGTGAAAACAATTTGTTTTCTGCCTATGCCTATGTGCCCTGACTGGGAATTGAACCGGTGACCCTTCAGTTCACAGGCTGGTGCTCAATCCACTGAGCCACACCAACCAGGGCTGAACCCATTTCTTGTACACCTCACTTCTACCTCTGACTTCCTAAATAAACTTTGTCTTGTTTAAAAAAAAAAAAAATTGCTTAAACCCAGAGATGGGAAGTATCAGCGTTCTAATTCCATTTTCTCCAATGTACCAATCCATCACCCGGCTTCAAAACATCCATAATTGAAGCAAACCTGCCTTTGACTCAATTTCCCTTTTTCTCCTTCCCGATCAGAGGAAACCACCCAGTTGAACTGTGGCTTTATCAATCTCCTGACTGTTCTTTATGCTTTTATTCTACATTTCTTTTTGGTTTTGTATATTCTGGAATTTCATAAATAATGGACTAATCCTACATGTAGTTCTGCAACTTGCTTTTTTCATAAGTGCCTTTTTCTGGGAGTGACTATCTCATAGTAAATGTAGGGGACTGGTTAAGATTCTGGAGCCAAACTGAACACTACTGTTTTCTTGTCTAAGTTAGCCACACTCACAGTGTCCTCATTGTAAATGGATAAAAGAGTACCTATCCTTACAGAGTTGTTAAAGATACGTAGGTGCACTTAAAACAGTGCCTAGCACATAGCAAACCCTATGTAAGTATTAGCTATAATCATATTCCGGGTAACTTAGTCATTAACTTATGCAGCCTAGTTAGTACTTCAGTCAGCCCCTGGCATTCCTGTTAGATGGTAAACTTCATCTTATCCCTGCGGTCTCTTGTATTCATTCTCTTGCCCTTACTTGTATGGTCCTCTCTTGGGTGTTGGGAAACTCAGTCCTCTGCCAACCCCAGGTTTGGAGTATAAGATTGAGCTGCAGCCATGGTGAAGATGGTCATGTGAACTGTATTCCAGGCTTCGAAATGACTTCTGTCTTCTGCATCCTGGAGCCTCACAAGTATCCCCTTAGAGTTGATTTGATAAAACCACCCCAAGACACTGCCTTTCTTGCCCCGCCAGGTTCTAGGAGTGGAGCAACTTCAGAAGTAACCAGTCTTCCACCCCCCATAGCTCTTTACAGTCACTCTGAGCAGAGACTGGCTTGCTAGCTCAGTCACCCAGTGAACCTCCCAGGCCTCTCATCTCGGAAATACTCAACTGATCAGTGCCAGCCCCTCTAGACAACACCTCCACCCTTCCAGTTGCTCAGGCCAGAACACTTGGAGTCTGTTTGACCCTTTTTCTCATGTACAATGTCCTATGTGCTAGCAAATCATTCTGACACTACCTTAAAATCAGACTGCATTTCACATCTCCAATACTACTCCATTCTGGTGGAAGCCACTATCAGCTTACCTACATGACAGCAACATCTTTCACGGTGATCTAGCTTCCACTCTGGACCCATTATGTTCTATCTGCACAACAGTCAGAAGATTTCTTCCAAATCATGACTTCGGTCTTACTTCTCCACTGTGTAAAATCCTAGTGAAAGCCAGTCTTTACAATGGCCATCCAACAAGGGCCTCCCAACAAGGGCCTCCCAGTCTAGCTCTTATCCCTTGCCTCATCTCTCCCTTCTGCGCCACCTACAAGGAATAAAGCCAGGAACTGGTGGCTGCTGTCCTGTCCATGTTCAGAGAGTAGTTTTCCCACCAGCTGGGGTCAGCCTTAGTCTGTTGGGTAGATCCAAATTTGTGCCAACAGAGTCTGTGGATGTAATTTAGAGTTTGAGGAAATCCTAGAGCCTAGAAATAAACTTATAAACTGTTTTGGACATTGCTTGTGAGAATGTGACTTTATACAATCCTTTTGGAAAACAATTTGGTAATATCTTAAATATGAGACATACTTTTTTAAAACCCACCATGTCCACTCTGGTAATACACCCCAAGCAAATGCACATGCTTATAGAGGGTGAATGTACACAAAAGTCCTTGGCAGTGTTGTTTGTATCAGAAGAAAAACCACCCAAATGTTCTCCAACAGGAGAAATGGGTAAATTGTATTTTCATAAAACAATACCACAGAGCAATGATGTGTTCAATGCAGCAGTGGAAAGAGTAACATAAGAGCATGGATTAATCTCACAAACTATGGGGGGAAAAAAAGGCAACCCACAGAAGGATACAAAATGTAGTTTGTAATGTTTAAAAACATTGACAGGCCCTGGCTGGGTGGTTCAGTTGGTTGAAGTGTCATGCTGTACAACAAAAGTTTGTAGGTTCAATCCCCAGTCAGAGTGTGTATGGGAGGCAACTGATCGATGTTTCTGTCATATCTATGTTTTCCTTTCCTCTCACAATAAATATATCTTTGGGTGAGGATTAGAAAAAAAAAAACATTTACAGTTGAACAACATGTTTAGAGTTAAGTACAGTAAAAGAAACATATAGGATCGCTAACTGCTAAATTCAGTATAGTAGTTACGTGGGCCATGACAAGGGGGTGCGTAGAGAGAGAGATCAGTCAAGGAGGTGTACATGGAAGCTCATGACACAATTTTTAAAAAATATTTATGTGTCTATGAACAATTAAACTTAAAGATATGTTTGGGGGCCTGTGAATCTTCAAGGGCTGAGCAAAAGCAAAGACTAAGCCACCCCACAGGGACACAGCTAGACTCCAGAGTCAGCACTCCCTTGGAAGACAACAGTTCCCAAGATGAGCCAGAGTCAAAAACGTGGACCTATTCATGCCCAGGGGAGCAAGGCAGCAGGCACAATAACAAGTGATAAAATGACTAAAATAGCAGGACTCCTGGAGGCTGAAGATGGTCAGAGGTAAAGGAAAAATTTTAGTCCATTGTGCAGGAACAGAGCATTATAAAAAAAAAAGCAGGCAGATTTGAAAAAGAAGCAAGTAGAAATTTGAGAATTGAAATAAATACATAGGAAGCACAATAAACATGTTAAATAACAGACCAGCTGAATAGAGAATTAGTGTGAATTGGGAGAAGAAATCATCCATAATGTGGAGTAGAGAGAACATGAATAGTATGAAGAGGGAATTAACATGAAGGATGGGATGAGATACTCCAGCCTTCAGCATTTTTTGTGAAGAGCTGCTCTCACCCCATGTTTTGTTACAATGGTACCATCCTTAGCTCTGCCTGTGGCATATGGGGGCATCTGTCTTCCAGCAGCTCAGGGCTAACTGTTAGTTTATTTATTCTAGTACTTCCTTGTCCATTAACATTCTACTTAATAATTGTGTTTTGATTGTTGTGTTATTTCCCAAAGAAAAAGGAAAGCTTATTCTAAGGGTTAAAGTACCCGGTAACTCTTAAAATGTTAAACTATGTTACCCACAGTCAGGTAAACCTCAGGTGGAAGTGGGTCACATTCTAGGCTGGCTATTGTTTGTCATTAAACCATTAAATAGTAGGAAGAATACATTAAAGAATACCCATATACCCACCACCTAAATTCAACAATTGTCAACAATTTTCCATATTAGACAATATGGAAAAACTATAAATT